CAAGAATCACCTTAGTTTGGCTTCGCTGCTTTAGTCTTCTTCTTTCAGCGACCTCAAAAACTGACTTTCTTTTGCGGCGAACTGCTCCTGGATTCTTGTCTGCCATTGCAACAAACTTTGTGCTAACTGCGAGGAAGATATAGGTAAAAAAAAAGCCGCTAAGAACTGTTGCGTTGGTGGAGTAAACTGCGTCTGTGCGTCTTGCGTCTGTGGACTGCGTGACAGTCGTACGTAAACCACGTAATGGCAGCGCGCAGGCAAGTCAGTTACGCTAGAAACGTAGGGAGTTTGATTGACAGCCTGTCAGCTCACAGATAATGGGTTGAAGTTGCTCCTCTATTTATTTAGTTTCTGCACATCTGCTGCTTNTCTCAGGTGGAGGCACCGAACACCACCCCTGCTTCAGCTGAAACACTTTTCATGTGTTTGCATTTGCACACACAGCTGATGGATCAAATTCATGACCAGAGATGAACAAGGGTTTTATCCCTAAAGAAACCATATTAAAACAACAACTAAAAAAATCATTCCTTTTCCATTTTCACTCATGCTTGAAAAAGCTCCAGGGAGCCACTAGGGGGTGCTAAAGAGCCGCAGGTTGCCGACCCCTGTACTAGACGGTTAGCAAGAACCCCAGAAGTTGTAGACCGCGCACGACTAATCAGTGAAGAGCTGTGAAGCCATGACGTCAAACTCAAGTGTCTGTCTGTGTCCCTTTTGTGGTTCAGCCCAACAGTAAACAAAGCGTCGAGATGGATGTAGATGAAGACAGACATTCTGTGTTGGAAACGATTCCTGAGATTGAAGCCGAAACAAAGAGAATGTTTGGTGAATTTTATCAAGGAGAAAGATGTTATTGTCCTTCTTCCTACGGGATTTGGTGCGTTACATACGTCACGACCAAATAGCAGCGATCGGTTAAATACAAAAAAGTACCCGCCTTCCATCGAGTGAATGAGTCCAGCTGATGAATCTAACTCAAAGTGCTTTACATCAAGGAACCACTCAAACATCCACTCACACACCAGTGTACACAGACACTAGGGGTGAGGTGGAGTGTCTTGCCCAAGGACATAACGACAGCATTCATCTGGGGAGCTGGGATCACATCACCCAACCTGTGGCCCGGGAATCTGACCGCTCAACCAATGAGATAGAGATGTATAGATATATATAGATATATAGATAGATATATAATTACATCGAGAGTGGGAGTTGAACCACCAACCTTCAGATCAGTGGACAAACGCTCTAACTGAGCTACTGTTGCATAAATAAAATATATAGTAACAAGTAGGGAGTATTATCTGTTACATAAAGGTGAGTTGTTGTACAGTTGTAGGAGTATTATCTGTTACATAAGTGAGTTGTTGTACAGTTGTAGGGAGTATTATCTGTTACATAAGGTGAGTTGTTGTACAGTTGTTAGGGAGTATTATCTGTTACATAAAGGGTGAGTTGTTGTACAGTTGTAGGGAGTATTATCTGTTACATAAAGGTGAGTTGTTGTACAGTTGTAGGGAGTATTATCTGTTACATAAAGGTGAGTTGTTGTACAGTTGTTAGGGAGTATTATCTCCTCTGTGTGTGGATGAGCAGAGTGTTTGATCCAGTTTGTCCAGGAAGAAGATCTTGCTTTAATATTCTAACTTAAACCTACAAATTCTCTCTCTGTTCAGATTCGAGCTTTCTCAGGCAAAGTTAAGAAAAGTTTACCTCGGATGTTTTTTTAATTTAAAAGATAAAACAAGATTACCTGTTTTTTGATGTTATTTTTCACTTTTACCACTCTTTCTCCTTCTGTCTCCCTCTGTCTCTCGCTCTCTCCCTCCCTCCATCTTTTTCTGTTTATCTGTGTCTTCCTTTTTTCCCTCCCTCTTTATCTCTGTCTCTCTTGCCATGTCTCTGTGTCCCTCCCCTCCCTCCCTCTCTCTCTCTCTCTCTCCTCCTCCTCTCTGTCCTCTCTCTTTCAGGACATGTATCTGAACGCTGGTGGTGTGACTGTGTCTTATTTCGAGTGGTTGAAGAATCTGAACCACGTCAGTTATGGCCGACTCACCTTCAAATACGAGAGGGACTCCAACTACCACCTGCTCAGTGAGTACATTTTATTCATCATTTCCACGCGACGAGAGGGGAGCGGTGCGCGGAGATTCCGTGCTGAGAAAAGAAGTGAGGAGCAGGGAGAAGAGCGAAACGGGGAGCGGGGAGAGGAGCAGTAAAGGGTGCAGAGAAGGTGCGTGGAGATTCAGTGCGAATGAAGCTACTACTACAACACGCAGCAGCAAGCGGACTCTTTCTTTGCATTGAAAATTACGTTTTCAGACATAGGATATCGCATTCGTGTCCTGAAAAACGTTTGACTAGCTCTTGGAAATAAAGTACGTTTTCATAATAAGCAGAAGTTTCCTGTCCAGGAGTAATTTGGCGACCAGTGCGTCAGTCTTTAGACCCTGCGTCTGCTTCAGTCGCGCCATCGCTGGAATGAATCTTCAAGAATCACCTTAGTTTGGCTTCGCTGCTTTTCCCCTTGTCTTCTTCTTTCAGCGACCTCAAAAACTGACTTTCTTTTGCGGCGAACTGCTCCTGGATTCTTGTCTGCCATTGCAACAAACTTTGTGCTAACTGCGAGGAAGATATAGGTAAAAAAAAGCCGCTAAGAACTGTTGCGTTGGTGGAGTAAACAGCGTCTGTGCGTCTTGCGTCTGTGGACTGCGTGACAGTCGTACGTAAACCACGTAATGGCAGCGCGCAGGCAAGTCAGTTACGCTAGAAACGTAGGGAGTTTGATTGACAGCCTGTCAACTAACAGATAATGGGTTGAAGTTGCTCCTCTATTTATTTAGTTTCTGCACATCTGCTGCTTGAAACACACCAATCACAGGCAGACTGAAATGAGAAACAAATACAGTGTGAGCTGCTCCTTTCTTAGGAATGTGGTGCCAACAATACAGGTATTTTCTGCTACTCTTTGGTCATTTATGTGTGATTTTTTTTTTTTTTTTTTCCCCCTCAAACTCTATTTAAACAGATGCTAAATTACACATGAAAAGGAGAAAATTGCATCATTCATGTCCTGTGGTCTCAAGTACATACACATTTTTTTTATTTTATTACATTATTACATTATTTTATGGTATTTATATTTTTATATGGCTTTACTTAACATTAGGGACGAGACTAGATCTCGTGCCAGGAGAGGATGGGGCTCACATGTTGAAAATGATCTCATGACATTTTTATTTCCATGTTTTTACATTTGTGTCATTCATTTTTCTTCTGTCCAGTGTCTGTGCAGGAGAGTTTAGAGCGGAAGTTTGGGAAACAAGGAGGACCCATCCCCATCGTGCCCACCGCTGACTTCCAGGCTCGAGTCGCTGTAAGTGCACAAAGTTCAATCACACTTTTATGTTACACTGAAGGAACTGGAAAGTAAGTGCATCAATATGAATGTGCAGGAAAGAACTGATTAAGAGACAAAGCTGTTTAATTGATCTTTACTTGTTTGTTTTTTTAGGGTGCGTCAGAGAAGGACATTGTTCACTCAGGCTTGGCCTACACAATGGAGAGATCTGCTCGGGTTAGTATTTTATAATGATAGTTTCACAAATTAATATATCAACACATTTCAGTGCAAACATTTGAAGTTGTTGGGGAAGTACACAAACAAACACAATGTTCAGATTCCACAAATGGAGTTAAAGTGTAACATCCTGAAGTGTAACACGTAACATTTCTGGTGGGGATTCTCCCACAGCACAAGCAGGTCCACCAGAAAAAAATGCACAGTGCCTTTTAAAAGATGATATAAAAGCAGCAGTTTGGCAGGTTTGGTGATTTCACATTTAAATGTAAATCATTTAGTCTCGTCTTGTCTGGGGCCAGGACTCCTTTTGAAATGAGAATCCAAATCTCTGTGGAACTTGATTAAATAAAGAACAAATAAAATGTAACAGTTGAGTGAAAATGGTCGCTTCTTTGACTCGATCTGGAGACATGACTGTTTTCCTTTTCATCCTTTTTAGCAAATCATGCGCACGGCCAGTAAGTACAACCTGGGCCTGGACCTGAGGACGGCTGCCTACGTCAACGCCATCGAGAAGGTCTTTAAAGTGTACAACGAGGCTGGACTCACCTTCACATAGACCTGATCCGTCAGAACACGCCGTTTACCGCCACATCGTTCTGCTCATATCCTGTTTAAGTTTAGTCTCGGGCTGCGTCTCTTCAGTGTCCTCGGTCATAGTTGATTTTGAAACATGCGTCCTGTTTCCTGTACACATGTGTCCACTGTTCTACAGATGCCTTATATCAGGACTGCTCTGACAGGGAGACAGACACTTTAACTACATTTCATTAAAGGGATTTATTAGATTTATTAGAAAACAAATTGTAATGATTAAAATAATTGTTGTTCTGTCCGTAGCAAAGGTCCAGATTTAGTTCTGTTCAGACTTGAGCTGTTTGATTCATTTATGTGACAGATCCTCCACTGAGACGAGATGGTTCTGCAGCAGGTTTTTCTTTGTAACCGTCCATTTCCTTCACAAAGTTGTTTATCAATAAATGACTGTATTTTTATTTTCATTGTTTTTCAAAACCAATAAAATATTAATAATATCACTTTGAGTCAGTGGTCACTGTTATCAGACAAGTGGACATTGTAAAGTTTTAAATCTGAACATGCTACTATCATTTTTCCATAATGTAAAACATATTATAGACTATTTACTATTTATACTACTATATTATTATTCCCAGGCATGTCCCACCGGGAGGAGGCCCCGGGGAAGACCCAGGACACGCTGGAGGGACTATGTCTCTCGGCTGGCCTGGGAACACCTCGGGGTTCCCCCGGAGGAGCTGGAGGACGTGTCTGGGGTGAAGGAAGTCTGGGAGTCCCTGCTTAGACTGCTCCCCCCGTGACCCGACCCTGGATAAGCGGACGAGAAATGGATGGATGGATTGTTACTATTTAACTAAGCCAGAGTTGAGTAAAAGTGTAAAAGATTTTTTTTTTTCTATTTTCAGAAATGACCTCGGTGCGTGTGATTAACCCTGAACAAGTCTTTGTTCATATGTATTCATGAACAGGTCTGTTTGTCTTGGCCAATGGTCCAGTCTCATCTGTGGAACATATTTTATGGTGATTTAAGTTCACTCCCTTTTAAATGAAACACACATCAAAAGGTGTAAGATTTTATGATGGTGTGTATAGTGAAGGAATGGGGTATAACCAGTGTGTCCATTTACTGGAAAAGGTTCTGATTTAAACTTTAAATTTCAGTGTGATGTGGACTTTATTAAGACATGTGACAGGCTTATATTAAAACATCAATAATTTAACCATTGCCTTTAAAATTTGGGGCACTTGACTTAGTCTAATATCAATTACCCCTCTCACATTCAAATACGAGAGGGACTCCAACTACAGCACCACCTGATCAGTGAGTACTCATCAAATATTAACTAAAGTTTAAAAAAACGTGACCACTGTAGGCAACAGTTTGACACTCAGTTTATTTTAGACACTGTTGTGAGACTTACACATTGTGCTACTTTAAAACAATACATCAAAAGAAATTCATTTTCCTTTGCTCCCTTTAGTTACTTTTACCTTTTGCCCCTTTCCCCCTTTACCTCCTTCATTCTTCTCTCCTCCTTTGCCCCCTTCTGCCTCTTCCTGCCTCTTCCTCCTTTACCACTGGATTCATTTTGCGAAAATTTTCAATAAACCATTTGAGATCACAATTTTCCAGAATTACAAACTTCCCATTTGTATATCGACTCACTGTTCCATGTTTTTTCTTAAGGATTATTTTTTTCACATCAGGAAAATCTGTTATGGAAATTGGGTAGTAATTCATTATTGCCGCTGTCCATTTAGTTATGTTTTTTTTGTGTGTTAAAAAAACAAGGGTGTTTTCATTATTTTCACTTGCACGTTCATAAAGACAGTCAGGGTTTTGCCTCAGTGTTTCATCTTCAATCCTTTTTCTCTCGTCTTCGTCTGCATTTTCTGGTATGTCAAATTTGCGCTGTAACAGAAGTTTTCAAAATGATGTGCATAGAAGAACATTTAACATGTTTTACTGTAATCTCTACTCTTCTACTCAAAAGCAATGAAATAATGACAGATCTCTCAGTAGATCTTACACACTGACATCATTTATCTGAAACATTACCTTCACCATTGTGACTGAGTGGCACTAAGTGGCAGAACTTTTTTTTTTTTAGCTCAAATTAGCTTCATACAGCAACATGGACACTGAAAATAGTTTCTCTGTTGTTGCTGTGACTGTGCAGATTTTCAGATTTTAGCAAGATCAACTCACCCCAAAAATGAATCTCCTCAACACAGACTATACACAAGTTATTTAAGGAGAGAAAAGTTCACTTCATCTGTGTGTTGTGATCCCATTTATCACAGACAATCTGTGTCAGTGATAAACGAGCCTGTAGTCTGCAGTGTCCCTGTTGTTTAACTGTTAACTGGATTTCTGCTACTGTTTACAGACTTTTATTTTTTCAGATGTCAGGTATAAACTCAATATTTAGCAGATATTATATATTAAGAAACATTAAATATTAAATATTTAGTAGATTTTTATATTTATTATTAAATTCTAGCAGCTCTCTCATTTTAAATGTGTTTTTTGTGTTAATATAATCACTACTTGCCATTGACACTCAAAATTCTGAATGTTGTCGTCATCTGCATAACTTCTATAGTTACTGGTCAAAGGGCATTACAGCATAGACTTTTTTTTTCTTATTACTTGTGTTATGAATTCAGTGGTTCCATTTCTTTTCACACAGTTTGGTTGAACCAACTCTGTAGACATGACAAACTAAACCATTTGGGAGAACAAGTCGCTAGTGTTTTTTGAGCCTGTGTTTCATCTGATCTGTTTATTTATTTTAAGTTCAGCAGAGGCCAAGTGACTCCCTAAATGTTCAACATCTCAGTTATTAATTTCATAATCATCCCATGGAAATTACAGCAAATATGTAGGTTTAGTAATACTACTCACTAAGAACACAAAATATTTTCTTTTTGCATGTGATAAAGTCTGCAAAAATGTTACATGACTAATAGAAAGCTGCATAAGTTGTGTTTAGAACTACTTACTGGTTGTGGTTCTTCGTCCTTGACTTCTTCTTCTTTGACCCCTTTGGTTACTGGGTTCATGTTGAGAAAATCTTCAGTAACCATTTGCGGATCACAATCTATCTGAATTATAAACTTCCCATTTTTATATTTTCTCACTGTTCCATGTGTTTTCTTCAGGATTATATATTTCACATGATCTCTGTTCCCTTCTATTGTGGACTCTGGGTAATGATTAATTATTGCCTTTGTCCATTTATCCATGTTGTGTTTTTCCGTAAAAAAACCCAGGGAGCCGGTTTCATTATTTTTTGTCTTATATTCATAAAGATAGTTGGGGTTGTTCCTCAGTGTATCATCTTTAATCCTTTTCCTCTTGCTGTGGATTGCATTTTCTGGTATGTTAAATTTGCGCTGTAAAAGAAGTTCTCATGTAAATTACAATAAATTTTGAGGGTTGTTAAGTGAGATGTCACTTCTGGGTCCAATGTGCATTGGCTGATTGAAAACACAATTACAATTTCCTCTTTTTTAAAGTGATGTCTCACATTACAAAAGGACTGCAGTTGTTTTACACTAGCAGCAAGTTATAAGTGTGACAGAAAGTGCACAAGGTTGAGATAAGAAGCTAAGCTCGTGTTAACAGTGACTGGCAGGGAGATGCACACACTGTTCATTTGGTTATAAAACTACATTAAATACACATTTCATGCAAGTTGTGGTTAAAATTCTTTTGAAAGGTAATAGGACAATCTAAGGTAATCGTGTTGAATAAGAAACACAGCAGTGTGACATTTTTGGGAAAAAAAAAAAAAAAACAAAGCTAGAAATGTGGACACACAAGTGACATCATCTCTTAAACACTCCCATGGGTGAATAAAAATGTAACATGGCTAAAGGCTGGTTTATAGTCCAGCGCCACGCTCCATGCAGCTGAACTGACATCCTGACGCAGACCTGAACCATCAGGGGGCATTGTGGGAATCCAAACAATTTCATTTATTTATTGCTTATTGTTTTAATAAACACATCACATAGCTCATGCACAGACATTTCTCTGTCAAACTGTTGCTGTTCTGAGCTGTTTTGAATCAGTTTTTCACACAATTTTGGTGGATCAGCCAATCACAGCTCATGCATTTGACAGAAATTCAACAGATACTTTTTGGCCGTGGTGCACAGGTGTGGGACATCCTGGTGTTGAATTGGCTTTGGACTATAAACCAGCCACAGACTGCATGTAAGGAAGCTGCATAAGTATTGTAGAACTACTTACTGGTATTGGAGATGGTGATCTTGGTGGCGATGGTCTTTGTGCCATGACTGTGAATGAAATGTAGAATTCAGATCTCATGCAACTGCTGTGTATTATTTTTATATAACCACAGGTAGTTCTGGCAACAATTAATCACTGTTCTATATCACTACGCTCTGAGCATCACTATAGCAAATGAACTACTGTTAGAAGGGTCTAGTTTTACCTAAAACAAAAATAACTAATTCCTGGAACATCCATGGGCAGCCAAAATGTTGTCAGATTTAAAAGTGAACTTTATCCAGTTTGTGGGACCATTGTATAAACACATTAAACAACTTGGAGCAGTCTGCATCGTGGAGTTCTAGCTGTGCAATAAATGCAGTGCACTTATCTAAAGGTTATTTCTTTCCCAAAACATTTGCCTGTCTCCACAAGTTCTGATAAGAATATTTGGGAGGAAGCTTCACCAAAGAAACTCATGGTTGTTGGTGTCAAAACAAACATCATGACTTATGAGGAAGGAATGAAAACCAACAAAGATTTATGTTGAATATTATATTATTATAATAGAAAATCACTAGTCTGTAAATTTGAAGTCAAAAAGAGTACATTTTTCTGAAGGATATGAGGATATCTTGCATGATGCCAAGCAAAAGAAGAGAAAAGAAATCCTTCAGATTTCGGCTGATCTGATTAAAAGATACTTGCCTAAAGTGGAACAGCTGAAGCTGTGGTGTCCAGGAAGCTCTGAGGAGAATCTGAAGCTGGTGCCTGATTCAAAGTCATCCTGCTCTTTTATGTTTTTATTAGACTGGGTGGAGCTATCAAACTCCAACCAGTTCTCTCATCATGACAAAGAATTTGACATGATCCTTTTTAGGCAACAGTCAGACAAGTTGAAATTAGAAAATTTGAAATTTGAACACGCTATTATCATTTTTGCATAATGTAAAACATATTATAGACTATTACTATTTAACTAAATCAGAGTTGAGTAAAAGTGTAAAAGTGTTTTTTTCTGATTTTCAGAAATGACCTCAGTGCGTGTGATTAACCCTGAACAAGTCATTGTTCATATGTATTCATGAACAGGTCTGTTTGTCTTTCCAAGGGTCCAGTCTCACCTGTGGAACATATTTTATGGTGATTTAAGTTCACTCCTTTTAAATGAAACGCACATCAAAAGGTGTAAGATTTTATGATAGTGTGTAGGCTTAAGGAATGAGGTATAACCAGTGTGTCCATTTACTGGAAAAGGTCCTGCTTTTTGAGTGTTATATGGGCGATCTAAAATTCAATGGGCCTAATTTAACAATCCTCTTTAAAATTTGGGGCACAAGAAGGACTATTGATTAGGTTACATCATTTTTATAGGGTCCAATTTGTGACCACCAAAAACTGAAATCTATTGGTGGAAATGGGAGCAATTTGTAAAAATTCAAGACGTGTGAAAAATTGAGATAACTTTTGATGTCCCACCCCTTGAGATAATGTGGACCAAATGTGAGCCTGTTTGGGTGAACGCCCTCGGAGGAGTTGGCACAAATATGAAGTTTACAGAAAATGCTTCGCAGATTAAAATCCAATATTGCTGAGCCCTGATGGAGCGGATGGCGCTGGTGTAATAGTATTTTTTACTTGTCTTGTCATGATCTTTTTTAAATTTTTTATTTTTTTATGGGAGGAGATCAAGAAGTCTATCTTTTATCACCAACACAATCGCACAAGACAGAGACACGATTAGAAACTGAACTATACCTACTAAATTGTATTGCAAATATAGGCCTCGTTACTAGAAATGACAATAAGGATTTACTTTAAGATTTATTACAAATGTTGTGCACATTTTAAGGTAAATTTATGGTTTCAAATATTTGGACATAGGCAGGTGAATCAGTTATGTGTTTTTTATTTATTTTTGTGCAAGTTATGAAAAAGTAAAAATCTCCATGCTTGTTAAACTTTGGTGTAAACCTGGTGAAAATGAAGGAATGCAATTAAATAATAAAAATATAAAACAATAAGAGTTGAATAATTAAAACATATATAAGCAGTTAAAAGCATGAATACATATTAACTTGGAAGAGTTCTGAGTTGGTTCAGTTGTTTATGATAAGTTGTTTATTGATGGGTTGTGTCTTGTTGGTAAAATGTCCATAATGTCCACATGAGGGCGCCTGACAAAATCACTGATCGGTTCAGCTTGAGCATGGCACAATTCTAAAGTCCTAGTGTGAGTGTGCCTAAAAATAAAAAAAGTAATGCAGTAGTTACTTTCCCTGGTAACTAGTTACTTTTATAGTGGAGAAACTCAGTTACTTTTTTGGAGAAATAACTAGTAAATATAACTAATTACTTTTTTCAAAGTAAATGTGCCCAACACTGAATTGAAAATGCAAAATTAGTCAATTTCTAGAAAACTTCATTAATGCAGCTTGAGTAACTTCTAAAACATCTGCTTTTTCTACTAAAATTTCTTCCTAAATCATGCAGGGTTCTAATCGAGGTTAACTGAAACTTTATTTTTTACCATGCTTTGATGGACCATCCTAATCATAGAAACAAGCAGGTGATGCACCCCAACCACAAAGTTATAGTGCACCTTTATAGTGCCTTTAACCTTTAAGGACATTTTTTGTGCAGCCCCAATGCACTGTGTGTGTGCGTGCGTGTGTGTGTGTGTACATCTCTACACGTGTGCGCCTCTACATGTGTGCGTCTCTACATGTGCATTTCTACATGTGCTTCTGTGTTTTCTCTACAGCAAAACGGCACTATTGTAGGCTTCCCAGGGGCAAAGCCGTACGAGGGCAGTATCCTGGAGGCAGACTGTCACATCCTGATCCCTGCGGCCGGAGAGAAGCAGCTCACCAGGAACAATGCTCCCAGAATCAAGGCCAAGGTACAGTGTGAACATGAATTACTCCAACTGTGCTACACAAGCTCCCTCTAGTGGTGTCCTACAGTTCTAATATTTGCTTCAAGATCCCATATTACGCTTTTTTCTGATCTATTTGATTGAGGGTATTCCATCAAAGTCATTTAATAAGTCCAGGCTTATCCTGAAATCCTGAGCTGAAACTAGCTCCGTCTTGACTCGTTCCATGACAGAAATATGCCTGACTGCAAAGCTCACGATTACCAAAAATGACCTGGTTTAATACTGATATTTAGACAGCTGATGTGTGTTTCTTTTGGAGTTTGTTTACATTAGCAACTAGAGAGACGCTTGCTCCATTCGTGTCAAAAACATGGCTCCTTACATATAAAAAAGGAAAATAAAAAGTTATATTTTGTTCCGAACTTTTCAAGAGGAGATGTCTTCTGCATTTGAGAGATTTATGACACAAATTAGCAGAAGAAAAGGAGACTGAGTGATTTCCTGATATTAATAAAACTTAAAACTTTGTGACGGCATTTACAGTGACCAACAATAAAAAAAAAAAGGACAGAAATTAAGTTCATAGTGTTTAAAATATATGCAGTTCTACATTCCGATCTTGTAAACTGTTTTTAATTTTTGTTTTGAGCAGATCATCGCTGAAGGTGCCAACGGACCCACAACTCCTGAAGCTGACAAGGTCTTCCTGCAAAACAACGTGATGGTTATTCCTGTACGTGAACTAAACTGAACCTATAACACTATACAATACAAATATAATATACAATACACATATAATAATATAACAGTCATCAGTGAGGACTTGGACTTAGACTTGGACTTTATTGATCAACAAGGGAAATTATTTGGACACAGTAGCTCACAGCATTGAGCAAGAGACTGATGTCAAATAAGACATGGTAACTGGTCATGGTCAGGAGTCAGAATACACTAGACCAGGGGTCGGCAACCCAAAATGTTCAAAGAGCCATATTGGCCCAAAAAAACAAAAAACCATACCTGCCTGGAGCTGCAAAAAATTAAAAGCCTTATGTAAGCAAACATAGGCTGTCAGTAATATTAGCTATATAAGCCGACTATTAAAATGACTAAATAGGCTACAAATAGAACAAAACGGTTTCACGTTTGCGTGTAAAACTAGAATAAACGGTAGTTTTAGGAGCTGACGCGCTGAAAGTGCGACCGACGTTTACCTGTTGCTTTGACGACGATGATGGAAGCATTCAGAGCAGCAGTCGCATTTCTTCTGATCGTGCATAGGAGCACTCATAAACAGCAGCATGTAGAACTTTGTACGCAACATCAGCCCGGAGCAGAAGCTCTGAACTCGGGCAGCAGCGCCAAACACACGGGAGCAGTCAGCGCGCAGCCCCTCAAGACGGGGCTGGGGTCCAGTGTTGATCAGATGAATCCGGAGGCTTCGTCCTCCATGTCCTGGTTCCAGACGGGGGCGAGCAAGACCAGCGCGCAAAGGACTGGGTCCGAGTGCTTCAGTGCAGTCGTCTGCGCGCTGGTTCCGTGCGGGAAAAGAGAGAATGCGCTGTGGACCACAGGTCCGGGCTGCTCCGGTCCTCCGCGCTCGACCGCGGCTGGTTCCAAGGTGGTGCAAAGCATCTGGACAGAAGCATCCCGTTTGGTTCGTTTATATGTTGTTCTGAGCGGTCCGTCTGCGCAGGTGTTTTTTTTTTTTTTTTTTTTTTTTTTCGGGGAAAAGTGCTTCTCAGGTGGAGGCACCGAACACCACCCCCGCTTCAGCTGAAACACTTTTCATGTGTTTGCATTTGCACACACAGCTGATGGATCAAATTCATGACCAGAGATGAACAAGGGTTTTTTATCCCTAAAGAAACCATATTAAAACAAACAACTAAAAAAAAATCATTCCTTTTCCATTTTCACTCATGCTTGAAAAAGCTCCAGGGAGCCACTAGGGGGGTGCTAAAGAGCCGCAGGTTGCCGACCCCTGCACTAGACGACGTTAGCAAGAATCCCAGAAGTTGTAGACCGCGCACCGACTAATCAGTGAAGAGCTGTGAAGCCATGACGTCAAACTCAAGTGTCTGTCTGTGTCCCTTTTGTGGTTCAACCCAACATTAAACAAAGCGTCGAGATGGATGTAGATGAAGACAGACATTCTGTGTTGGAAACGATTCCCGAGATCGAGAATTTAAAGCCGAAACAAAGAGAATGTTTGGTGAATTTTATCAAGGAGAAAGATGTTATTGTCCTTCTTCCTACGGGATTTGGTGCGTTACATACGTCACGACCAAATAGCAGCGATCGGTTAAATACAAAAAGTACCCGCCTTCCATCGAGTGAATGAGTTCAGCTGATGAATCTAACTCAAAGTGCTTTACATCAAGGAACCACTCACCCATCCACTCACACACCAGTGTACACAGACACTACAGGTGAGGTGGAGTGTCTTGCCCAAGGACATAACGAAGCATTCTTGGGAGCTGGATCCATACCATGTGGCCGTAATGCCGCCAAATAATAGATGTATGAAAATAGATATAAATAAATATAAAATGTCATTGACCGCACCTGATCTGAAACTATACGTGCTAACGTGAAAATAAAAAAAAAATAGTTGTTGTACAGTTGTAGGGAGTATTATCTGTTACATAAGGGTGAGTTGTTGTACAGTTGTAGGGAGTATTATCTGTTTACATAAGGTGAGTTGTTGTACAGTTGTAGGGAGTATTATCTGTTACATAAGGTGAGTTGTTGTACAGTTGTAGGAGTATTATCTGTTACATAAGGGTGAGTTGTTGTACAGTTGTAGGGAGTATTATCTGTTACATAAGGTGAGTTGTTGTACAGTTGTAGGGAGTATTATCTGTTACATAACGGTGAGTTGTTGTACAGTTGTAGGGAGTATTATCTGTTACATAAGGTGAGTTGTTGTACAGTTGTAGGGAGTATTATCTGTTACATAAGGTGAGTTGTTGTACAGTTGTAGGGAGTATTATCTGTTACATAAGGGTGAGTTGTTGTACAGTTGTAGGGAGTATTATCTGTTACATAAGGTGAGTTGTTGTACAGTTGTAGGGAGTATTATCTGTTACATAAGGGTGAGTTGTTGTACAGTTGTAGGGAGTATTATCTGTTACATAAGGGTGAGTTGTTGTACAGTTGTAGGGAGTATTATCTGTTACATAAGGTGAGTTGTTGTACAGTTGTAGGGAGTATTATCTGTTACATAAGGGTGAGTTGTTGTACAGTTTGTAGGGAGTATTATCTGTTACATAAGGGTGAGTTGTTTGTACAGTTGTAGGGAGTATTATCTGTTACATAAAGGTGAGTTGTTGTACAGTTGTAGGGAGTATTATCTGTTACATAAGGTGAGTTGTTGTACAGTTGTAGGGAGTATTATCTGTTACATAAGGGTGAGTTGTTGTACAGTTGTAGGGAGTATTATCTGTTACATAAGGGTGAGTTGTTTTGTACAGTTGTAGGGAGTATTATCTGTTACATAAGGGTGAGTTGTTGTACAGTTGTAGGGAGTATTATCTGTTACATAAGGTGAGTTGTTGTACAGTTGTAGGGAGTATTATCTGTTACATAAGGTGAGTTGTTGTACAGTTGTAGGGAGTATTATCTGTTACATAAGGTGAGTTGTTGTACAGTTGTAGGGAGTATTATCTGTTACATAAGGTGAGTTGTTGTACAGTTGTAGGGAGTATTATCTGTTACATAAGGTGAGTTGTTGTACAGTTGTAGGGAGTATTATCTGTTACATAAAGGTGAGTTGTTGTACAGTTGTAGGGAGTATTA